GTCGGTCGACCGGAAAATTCGTCGGTCGACCGAAAATTTTCATCGGTCGACCGTACCGGTCGACCGACAGACGTCTGTCAGCCCAGTGAACTTTTGACCTCAGGTTCGGTCGACCGGTACGGTCGACCGAAATCTGATACACTGCAAAACCTGATTTTAAAACTCAGTTTAAAAATATCAAATAAATTCCAAAAAATGTAAAACTTTGGGAAATGATTGTAGACATGATAATAAACATGCTACAATGACTGGTTTTGAAAAAGGACTTCCCAAATGAAAAATATCATCATTTTTTAAATATGTTCAAAAACATGAAACCTGAAAGTTGATATTTTGATATTTTGACTTAAACAACATTTTGAAACCTTATGAAATGATTGTATAGACTTGTATAAAAGATATAATATGTTGTATAAAGTCATAACCTAGAAATACATATTTTCATAAAATTGCATATTCTATGCAATATATTCAAAACACTAAATATGATTTCATTAAATATAAGCTTGTTAAAGGTGAAATCATATATAGGCATATAAACATGAAAATAAAAATAGTATTTTCCAATTTATTCATTTTTTCATAGTAAAACTTGAAAACTATCAAACCAAAACATATATGTATATATATAACTATATATATGCATAGAAACCAAAACTTATGATATATATATATAACTATATATATATACAAGGAAACATCATAAAATGTGTTATAGATAATTGAGCTTAGAGTACTTAACACACATAATATAAATCCTAAACTACATTACCCAAGCAATCTTGATCTTCAATTAAGCTTGACTTGGTACACGTGCGGATGAAGCTTGAACTTGATCTTTAACTTGAATGGTTGTATAGGCTTCAATCCGACATTCCGCCAACCTCCTTTGGATATCATCGTGGAAGCTCTATTCCATCCATCCTCCAACAACGTTGTTTGTCTACAATAAATACGAAAACACAAATACTAGACAAACAACATTAGTAGTAAATTGTTTGTTAAACATCATCAAAACAAGAAGGCCAACAATAGTATCTAGCATGGCGGTATGGATTTTGTTCAGGGAGGGAGCCTTCACCTCAGCGACCTAACTAATCAAAGCCAAAATACCAATCACGAAACATACATACCCAACTAAGACAATATATATGTTGGCATACCCAACATGGACGGAGTATTAGTTGGCATACCCAAGATAAACAAAACAGAAAGAGCACAAACACAAACACCTGAAAGCCATATAGTTTTAGCTGAAAAAGAAACTCTAAATCCAACGAGCTTGTTGGTTGCTGGTGATTCTGATGTCCAAAGTTGCCGCCGGCTTGATCCTGGTCTGAGTAATGAAGAAGAGCATCATGCCCTTGTTCCTTGGCAATGGCGTTAACTGCTTCCACCTTCTTTGCACCCGTGGCCCCTGACTAGAACAAAGTGAGAGATGCCACATTTATCAAGTGTGGCATGGTGACAACTGAGTTAAAGATGAGGTTGTTTCGACACTGCTATATACACCAACATAGCGTTGGAAACACTACCTTCCATAACCATTTATGCTTACTAAATGTAATGAAGCTGTCCTTAGATTCCAGCAATGAATCAAAATTGTTGGGCCAGAGAGCTGAGGGAAAACTGGGAGTGAAGTAATCCCATACTGATTTAACTAATGAGCATGAAAAGAATATATGAGAATCAGTTTCTTCCTCTGATTATCAAAATAGATAAGAGGTGATTCTTATCCATCCCTTCATGGCTAGATTGGCTCTGGTTTGAGTTTCCCTTGTTAGATCTGAATCATAAAACTTGAGATCTAAAACCATATAGCCATGATTAATTCAAAGAGATTAACAATAATCAAAAGAGCGGAAGCTTATACCTGAATCCATGGATGAACCTTGAGATGGGTTTTTTTGGATCTTTTAACCTTAGGGTTTCTCTAAATCCGAATTTCTCTAGCTAGATGGGGGTGTAGAGAATTAGAGAATGTAACCCTAGGTTAGGGACCATAACCCCTTATTTATAGATGTTGTACTTTTGTAATTTAGCCCCTCAATAAATCATAATTACCACCTGATATCTGCACATATAACCCCATGACTTATTTAAATACCCAATTAACCCAAATTAATTGATCACTTTAGTGGGTTATCCTGAAAGATAGCAATACACATTGATTAATCATATGTGCCCACAAATAGATTTATTAGATTAAATCCAACAATCTCCCACTTGGGCACCATATGATTCCTTAAATTGTGTATAACCTTATGAGCTCAAAAATTGCTATCACTGAAAAGGTATTTCCAAACAATCTCGTCCATTGACTATATCAATATAGGATCAAAGCGGCCTTCGTCATATTTATCATGACTCGACCCATCAATGGTCACATATACCAATACAATCAAACGACATAGATCAATCATGGATGTGCAGCATGAAAATTACATGCAATGTGATCAGTACATGTCTATTTTCAACTGGTCCTCCTTAGTGAGGTCAAAACCAAACATAATATAACAGAGTGTCTAAACTGAATACTTTATTCTGATCAGACAATACAACCAAACATAAAGCACCACAATTACAAACTCCCACTAAAACATAATATCCTCAAATAATACCACACCCATATGAGCAGTATGCTCATGAAAGACCTTAGGTGGCAATCCCTTAGTAAGAGGATCAGCTATCATGGAGTTTGTCCCAATGTGCTCTATGAATATCTGTCCACTCTGTACCCTTTCTTTCACAACCAGGAACTTAATGTCAATATGTTTTGACTTAGTTGAGCTCCTGTTGTTATTAGAATACATTACTGTAGATTTATTGTCACAATATAACCTTAGTGGTCTTTCAACATTTTCCAAAATGCGCAGTCCCGTGACAAAATTTCGCAGCCATATTCCCTGATTGGATGCCTCATAGCAAGCTACAAATTCTGCTGCCATAGTGGAGGAAGCTACTAGTGTTTGTTTGACACTTTTCCATGATATAGCTCCTCCTGCTAACATATAAATGTAGCCTGATGTAGACTTCCTGCTATCTTGGCATCCAGCAAAATCAGAGTCCGAATACCCAATGACCTCTAATTTCTCTGATTTTCTGTATGTGAGCATGTAATCTTTTGTTTTCTGAAGATACCTCATAACCCTTTTGACTGCTATCCAATGATCCATACCAGGGTTGCTTAAGTATCTGCCTAACATCCCAACAATGTACGCAATATCCGGACGCGTACATACCTGAGCATACATTAGACTTCCTACAGCCGAAGCATAAGGAATCTTCTGCATTTCCTGAATTTCAAGGTTACCTTTAGGGCACTGATTGAGACTAAACTTGTCTCCTTTAGCAACAGGGGTGTCACCTGGTCTGCAATCTTGCATGCCAAACCTTTTAAGTACCTTATCGATATAGCTCTTTTGTGATAATCCAAGAATACCCCGAGAGCGATCTCGATGTATCTGGATCCCTAATATAAAAGAGGCGTCCCCAAGATCTTTCATCTCAAAATTCTTTGATAGAAATCTCTTGGTTTCGTGCAACATGCCTATATCATTAGTGGCAAGCAAGATGTCATCCACATACAGAACCAGAAAAATATACTTACTCCCACTGAACTTGTGATATACACAGTCATCAACAATGTTCATCTCAAAACCGAACGAGATAACTATTTGTTGAAACTTATGATACCATTGACGAGGAGCTTGCTTGAGTCCATAGATGGATTTCCTTAATTTGCAAACCATATTCTTTGGGTCTCCTGACACAAAGTTTTCTGGTTGCACCATATAAATCATCTCATCAATGTCTCCATTGAGAAATGCAGTCTTAACATCCATCTGATGTAACTCAAGATCATAATGAGCAACAAGTGCCATGATTATTCTGAAAGAGTCTTTCGATGAAACCGGAGAGAAAGTCTCTGTATAATCAATGCCTTCCTTTTGAGTATAGCCTTTAGCCACAAGACGCGCCTTATACCTCTCCACATTACCGTTTGCATCCCGCTTGGTTTTAAAAATCCATTTACAACCAATTGGTTTTGCACCTTCTGGCAATGGGACAAGTTCCCAAACCTTATTGTCTTGCATAGACTTATACTCTTCATTCATGGCATCAATCCACTGTTGAGAGTTAGAACTTTTCATGGCCTGAGAGAAGTTGATTGGATCATCTTCTAACATTCCACTACTTTCCTCATGTTCTTGGAGAAATACAATATAATCATCCGGAATAGCATTTCTCCTTTCTCTCGTGGATCTCCTTAATGGCACTGGTTCTTGAGGTTGTTGAGTTTGTTCTTCTGGAACAGGGAGTTGTTCAACATTATCATCTTGAGGTTCCGGATTTACTTCTTGAGCAACAACAGGTATAGGAACCTGAATATTGTCAAAAGTAACTGTATGGATTGGATCTGAAGCCAATTCCTCCTCAAAACTAATGTCTCTAACCTTATTTCTCCCCCCAAACTCAACATCCTCAAAGAATGTTGCTGTTCCCGTCTCAAAAATATTCCTTATAGTGGGATCATAAAACTTATAGCCCCTAGAGCGATCAGGGTACCCAATAAAGTAGCTGCTAACTGTTTTGGAGTCCAATTTCTTTTCATTTGGCCTATAAGGCCTTGCCTCAGCTGGACATCCCCAAATATGTAAATGCTTTAAACTGGGCTTTCGACCAGTCCAAAGCTCATAAGGTGTTTTAGCAACTGCTTTACTTGGTACTCTATTCAGAATGTAAGCTGCTGTCTTAAGTGCTTCTCCCCAGAGTGACTCTGGTAAAGAAGAATGAGCAATCATACTTCTTACCATATCCTTAAGAGTCCTGTTTCGTCTTTCAGCTACACCATTCATGCTAGGTGAACCCGGCATAGTGTACTGTGGGACGATACCGCATTCCTCTAGGTATCTAGCAAATGGTCCTGGACGTTGTTCACCTGAACCATCATATCTACCGTAGTACTCACCACCACGATCAGATCTGACGGTTTTAATTCTTCTGTTGAGTTGATTCTCAACTTCAGCTTTATAGGCTTTGAACATGTCCAGAGACTCAGATTTTTCATGAATAAGATATAGGTGCCCATAACGTGAGTAATCGTCTATGAATGATATAAAATATTGTTGACCATTCCAGGATTCCGTAGGGAATGGCCCACAAATATCCGTATGTATCAATTCTAAGACATCCGAAGATCTGTTGGCACGTTGTTTGTCTACAATAAATACGAAAACACAAATACTAGACAAACAACATTAGTGGTAAATTGTTTGTTAAACATCATCAAAACAAGAAGGCCAACAAGGTTGTCATAAGTACTCAAATAACCGGTTCCCACAACATTTGAATTAAAAGATAAACTGAATTGACTGTTTCCAAATGAACAAGAATAACCTGATTTGTCCAATACAGAAACAGAAACCAAATTCCGTCTAAAAGACGGTACTACAAAAGTATCTTTTAAATCCAAATAATAACCAGTTCCTAACAACAACCTAAAGTGCCCAATTGCTTCCACATCTACCGATTGTCCGTCGCCCACAAAGATGTGTCTTTCAACATCACTTGGCTTTCGGTAGCTCAGACAACCCTGCATAGAAACACTTATGTGAGTAGTAGCACCAGAGTCTAACCACCAAGTGTTTCTAGGTACTGAAGCTAAATTAACCTCAGAACAGACCAAAGCAAGGAACGTACCCTTATTATCACGCCAGGCGTGATATTTTGTACAGTCCTTCTTTACATGTCCAGGCTTCTTACAGAAGAAACAACCCTGATTATCCTTATGTTGTTTCTTCTCAACTGGACCCTTAGCAGCTTCCTTATCATTCTTCCTTTTCATGCCCTTATCCTTAGAGGCATAGGCCAAATGAGCACTTTCTGTCTTATCTTGCTTTAACCTGTCTTCTTCTTGCACACAGTATAAAATGAGCTCATTTAGAGTCCATTTCTCCTTTTGATAGTTATAACTGATCTTAAATTGATTAAACTGTGCAGGAAGAGACAACAGAACCAGATGCATTAATAACTCATCACAAAGATCGAGTTTAAGTGCCTTAAGTTTTGAAGCAATATGAGACATTTCCATAATGAATAACTCATCACAAAGATCGAGTTTAAGTGCCTTAAGTTTTGAAGCAATATGAGACATTTCCATAATGAACTCCCTGATGTTTCCTTTGCCCTTATACTTCATTGAAATCAAAGCGAGCTAAAAGCGTGCTTATTTCTACCTTATCGTTTTTCGCAAAACGCTTCTCAATTTCGGCAAGGAAATCTTTAGCCTTAGTAATCCCTTCGGATTCTATGCCCCTGAAGGCTTCCGAAACGCCGCGCTTAATGATCATAAGACTCATGCGATTTGAACGATCCCACTTCTCATGCTCCTTCTTTGCATCAGGAGTGCTTTCCGCATTGAGAGGTTGGGGTTGTTCAGTTCTTAATGCATAGTCAAGATCCATGCAGCCAAGAACAATTAATATGTTCTCTTTCCAAACCTTGAAGTTTGTCCCATTTAGCATGGGAATTGAGTTGATGTTAGCAGAAATTGTTGCAGCAGATGCATTAGCTGAAATAAAACAACAAATGCTCACATCAATAACCATAATCAATAAAATTCAAAT